TACTCCTCTTAATGGTACAGGGGGGAAAACAGGTGAATAATTGCATCAGCACAACAAAAAAATCTATGATGTAACTTACTCACAGTGTCTGTGTATACTGTAGCCCCCTTAAACTGTTAAGTTTGCGTTTCTGCTTAACTTTTTCCAATATTCTAATCTACAGCTTTTAACTATTTAATTCCATTTTTGCTCTGATTTTAAGGTATTTAGATTAAGTGTACGTTTTGAGGACTGTTTTTATGGTGCACCACGACCGCACCGCGTTTCCTTTGTCATTCCTCCTACTGTGGAAGCACACAAACAGACACAACAGGACTTAGCCTGTGGGTGTATGTTGTGATACGATGCGTCTTATTCTTTCTATATTAAGCCCCTTTGAGTCACAGTGACCTGATGATTCAGATCAATGGCAGAGGACCAGAAACAAAGATCCAAACAAAATCAAATTACACGTGGTGCTAACGTGTCGGCCGGCTGGTTTCATGCTCTCATCGCAGACCCACTTCTCAAACCTCCAGATTACCACACTGCCGTCGCAGCTCTTCAGCCGAATCAAAGTTGCGCATTTTCATAACCATAATCAAACAACAGTGACGTAGGAACATGAAAAAAAAAAGATGTTACGCTTGGCTTTCAAATCGAAGCGTGTTACCTATAGTCACTTTGAGGTCAAAAATGAGGTTAGCATTTTGTTCTGAAGGCCAGTTACAGCTGGTTTTCTATTCAAAACCAAACAGATTTGTTTATATAATCCCTTTTCATCCCACCTTACCTGTGGTGTTTAAATGAGCGTACATAATGAAAACTGTTATATAACTTGGGCATTAACAGCCTCTCTTCGGGCAGAAAACAGGGCCAGCAGCACCTCATGTGTAATTCAACAGGTCAGTTTTACCCACTGTGTGTTGTGTGTTCGTGTGCGAATATTTGTGTGTGGGTGTACGGGGGCGGGGGAGGCGTAAGGGAGGTATTTGACTGCTCATGTCCTGTTGTACTTAAGTCCTAAAATGGGTCAGATAATGTCTGTGTGTGTTTGTGTGAGCACAATACCTGGGGAACTTATTACATGGCAAACCATAGTAAGCGGTCAGGTTACAGTGAGCAGTGTCCTAGTTCAGCTGCCCCGGCGCTTTATTGCCGCACACAAACACACGTGTTTGTTTGACATCCAGCACTTGTTAACCACAAATCTCTGAGAATTGTGTTAAAATTGCTTCTACTTAACACTGAACTGAAATGTCTTTTTTTGACCCGTATTTTTATTTGGTCAAAAAAACTACCATAAAGAAAATATTTGCTGTGACAATGTTCTAATAGTGTTCCACAGAGAAGTGAATGTTTGCCACTAATGTTTGCACTGTAAGCTGATTGGCACATTGTCTCCCTGTTGTTTTCTGCGACATTATGTCACGCAATTATGTATAAATAGCACAGCGCGTTTTGCATGTCATGTTTATGCATTTGAAGCTTTTTGCATGTGATTTTACAGTATTGACATAACACACAGAATAGTTATGTTGGTGTTGGTGTCAAGAGGACGCCATTCGTCTGGACTATATGTCATGCAATGATACACAAGTTGCAATAAATGCATTATGATAACATACATTAAAAAAATGTTGGATGAATAAATAAAACTACTGGTTTCACATAATGACATTATGATTACTTAACAGTTTTTACCTGTGTTCAGGTTATCTGATTTAGAGACTTGGTGCGTTATGATGTGCCCATGAACATTGTGCAATAGAGACATTTCTAAATATTAGATGCTTGAAATCCCAAGATGCTGATGTAAATAAGTGGACAGGAATTTTTCAAAAGTCAGAGGGAGAAAAGAAGCAAAAAGCAGGAACTGTAAAGAGCCCAGAGTACGGTTCCACATAGACTTTGGATAGTGGAGATCCATGAACACCACCAACTGTGGTAGCAAAGTGAAGGAATCATTCTCGAGGAAAATGTCAGGTTTTCAATCTCTGAGCATAGGTAAGGCTCTAAAAAAACCTCTTAGCTAGCAGCAAAAGTTTCTGGTCAAGATTGGCTTGCCCTCCTGACCCACTTAGCTGACATTTTAGGACAACTCAAAGATCTAAATGGAGGCCCTCAGGAGAAAACTGCATCGCTCGCTGGGGAAAAAACTGACGCAAATTCAAAAATCTGGCTTTGTGGATTACTCATGTGCATGAGGATAACTTTGACACCTGTTATTCACTGATTTTTCAAGTGAGAACGGAGTGTGAGAAGCAGATTTGCTGGTCATCATGGCTCATCTCAGTGGAATGCCCGTGAGTCTCTTTGATTATCCACCTGAAAAGAAGGCTGACTCAGGGGAGTTGATTAGAAATCCTTCAGCAGTGACAATGGCAATGGCAGCTGAACTGTAGGAGTCATTGATTGATGTTGCAAAGGACGGCGCACCAATAAAAGCCGAGTGCTGGCATTGGAAAAAAAAAAAATCTCCCATTTGTACTAACCTGGCTTTGTAGGAATGGTTTTCAGGTTGCTGAAAAACAAGCCATTAGTGGGTCTCATTTCTGACGATGGCATTATTCACCACTAAACTTTCCCTTTCCTGTGGTGGGAGTGGATTGGTAATATTTTCTCAAAAGGTGGTCACACATGTAAGTGATAAGAACCATTGTGCTCATTCATTGTGCAGTGTTTTTCTGCTAAATTTCTCACCACAGTACCGCTAACCTTAAAGTCTCCCTCTAATATATACATATATACTTTTTAACACATCTGTATGGTGCTTTTAACATGCTAGACAGATCATGAGCTAAACAAGCAATCAACACTCAACATTTCCATCTTAAAGCTACAGAGTGCCAATGACGGTCTCAGAAACACAGATCTGGATTTTCAGGTTTTCATATGTAACAAACCTAAAGAACAATCCTGTCAATGTGCATTGTGGGGATTTCTGTATTTGATGGTAGTTTTTGAGGTGTATCAGAAAAGTTTCAGGACTGGTGTCACAGTGTTTTCTTCTTCCAAGTAATCCCCCTGGAGTCTAACACACTTTCCCAGCCTTCTCTGCCTCGTCGCCATGCACACCTGGAGGGATTCTTCCGGGATCCTCCGCAGCTCCGTCGTCACAGCCATCTTGATGTTGTCCACGTCTTCAAAATGGATCCCCTTGATGACCCCCTTGAGGGGAAGAGGAGAAAATCCCATGGAGCCAGGTGGGGTGAGTAGGGAGGTTGGTCCAGTATGGTGATGGTCTTCTCAGCCAGGAACTGTGGGATGCTCAGGGCGTTGTGAGCAGACGTGTTGTCATGGTGAAGCAGCCATGACTTGTCCTACCACAACTCTCGCCTATTCTCGCGCACTGAACGAATCGAACGCCGCAGGATCTCGTTGTAGACGTGCTGGTTGATCGTCTGAAGGGGAAAACTGGTAGTTTGTAGTTTTGGTTTGAAATATATCTTTTGTGACACCAGTCCTGGAACTTTTCTGACACACCTTAAAGTTCAAACATTTGACAGCTGAATTATTCAAATATTACAACTTGCCATTGTGTAACACAGATTTATAGTGCTTGAGGAGAACTGTGGGTGAGCTGGTGTGCTCAAGTTGGAGTGTACAGTGGATTGCATGAAGACAGTGGTGGGAACGTCGTAGGTTTGCACATTTTCAGCAGAATTTTGATACACAGAGATGAGTTTTTAGGGGGTTAATCATTGACCAGAGACAGACTTTCATCAATGTTAGGAATATTAGAAAAGGAATATGTCCCAAAACTGTTTAAATCCTCTCAACTCCAAACAGCATCTCTGTGTTTTTTTGCTCCTGTCCCATTTGTAGTCACTGTGGGGCCATATAAAGTCCTGCACCTCTACAGAAACAACATTGTACAGTACAGAGAATTCAAAAATATCGATCGATATCTTACATATACCTATATGTTTGTCTTCTATCTGCTCTGTGTAAATACAGCCCACAGTTCAGCCAGAAAGTTTCTGAATTTTTGTCATAATAACTGTTGGTTGCAGCTGAGTCATCTATGGCTTTATTTTGTTACAGAATCTGTTTAGTACAAATGGTTCATTTTTGGCATTGTTGTTTTTTTAAAGCAGACAGGCGTTAAATATCAAAATTTTTAACTTTGATTTGGTAAGTAGTTCAAGGACCACTGAGAGGCTGAAAACTGAACAATTCTCAAAATTTGTACACCTCCAATAAATGGTGTCATTTTGGTGATTTTGTTGACATAGTACTTTTATACTTATTCTGTTACATATAATATTTTATTTTGATTTTTTTTTTTTATTTAGGTTTCTACATTTATTGCCCTTCTTGTTGTTGTTGTTATCACAGTTTCATTCACCTTGTCGAATTCTTTGTGTGTGCGAGCTCACTTGGCATTGAAAGTTGTATTCTGTATTTTTATTTTTTTTAAAGTCAACAAGCCTTTCTAACTCCCCGGCAGGTTGTCGGGTTCAGATGGATTTTCAGTTTGTTATTTCTTGCTACAAGCACCAGAGTTTTCACATGAGGTCATAGCCTTGCTGCTATATTGTTGACATCAGTAGCAGGCAGGTGACGGCGCAGCAGCCAGACATGGCAGCATTAGCAGGCCTGTGTGGTGCCAGAGTTCTGTTCCGTAGCGGCGCATCCGCAGGCTTGTTGTTTTGTCAGAAACATGTCGAAAATGATCGCGATACGATAAGCGCGTCCAAAATCTGTCTGGTCTGAGTTTTGAGACGAGACATCAAGGTTGATGGCGGTGCAGAAACCATGGCAACGGGATGACACAGGCCAACAAGCTTTTCGCTAAATCCCAGCCCACCTGGACTTGTTGATAAAGTGGCGCCAGGAGTCAGATTTGGAAGCATTACACCTTCTGTGATGATCCCCGAGTTTCTCCGAGTGCAAGTTTGGATGAGCTCCAGCTTCTTGAATTATCTGAAGACGCGAGGCAGGTCAACAGTGTGACAGATTTTAGTTATGAAATGGAGCGATTGTTACAGCATTAAATCTGTGTGTGTGTTTTCCAGGCGACTACTTTGGCATTCTGATGGATGAGAAGGTGACTGGGTTCCCCTTCAGCGTCACAGAGAACCCGATGTACTGGGGCAGCGCTGCCAACTACCTCGGCCTGGCACTCATGTAAGTGTGTGTTATTGGAAAGGTAGAAAGGTCATTTTCATGATTGTGGTCAACAAGGGTGTCATTTGGATTTAATTTCTCTGCAGAGCTTCGCAGCTAAGATGAGCTTAAATCAAGCACAACAGATTATTACTGTTATTCTCAGGTTTGTCATTAACTGTTTCCTGAGGACTCTTTCGCAGATACATTTTTTTTAAAAAAAGAAACTCATCCACCGCTTTCGTGGCCAAGTACCGATGTACGTCAAAAGGCGCTCGAAATGAAACAAGGGCATAAGTGACATAGATAATAAAGTGTAACCTATAAATGGAAAATATTGTTTTTTTTTCTTCTCCAAGTTGCAAATCCCTCATGAAAAAAGATGCAGAGGTATAAAAAAACTTTTGCCCATCTGTCGCTATGACAACTGTGACCATGTTGCTCGGAGCTTGGCGTGCGTAGTTGCTAAGCGAGCACTCCAGGTTTGATGAGCCCGCCTGCAGTTAAAGCTATTAGCCCCCCATTCTTCCTCACTCGGAGCCACGGCGATTTCATCCTCGTCTTACCGTGTCCTTCATCCTTTTTGTTGTGACTAATTACGCTCCATTTTCTCTCTGCTTTGAATTTGGTTTACTTCTTACTTAAAGCTCTGAGTGCTCGTACCAGTGATTGCCTCATTTTACTACCACTTTTTCTTTTTGCGTCCCGCCTGTGTCCATACAACTCCATCTTTCTCTCCCCTCTTTATTGTTGAGTCACTTCAGATGTTGCAGCAGGCTCGGTCTCTGCCTCCATTACTTTTTTTTTTTTCTCCTTTTGTCTATTTTTGTTGTGTTGAGGGTGAATCATTTAATAAACTTGCCGAAAATAAGCCTGTAGTTGAACACCCTGTGAACTGAGGCCAAATTGCTGATGTGTGTCTCCACTGCAAACGACTTTAGGTACAAGGTAGATTTGTACAAAAATCATGTCAACTGGTCTTTTTTAGAAAAACGCATTATGTGCATTACTAAAGTATTGCATATATTTAGATACATTTCCGTGCTATGAAATAGTTTTTTAAAATTTTGACGGAACGATCTCAACTCCACATGTATCTGTGGTGTATTCTGAAGCTTACAATCATTTCACAGGGTTTGGCGGCATCAGAAAATGGCATTTGCTAAGCTGTCTTTAGGATTCCTCATGCATAGTGGCCTTCCTTGGATGTTCAATATGTCCACCTTGTGCCTCTCCTTGAGGTTGAAGAACCACTTAGATTTAGTTTTTATATTGGTGCCAATATCACTACATTACGAAAAATGTCACTAAACAAATGTTCCAGACACTTCATGAATGCGTTGTTACTGGTTGGCATTGAACTCCCCTTTGATTTATTTTTTGAGATTAGCACCAAACCACCACCCCAAGAAAAACGGTACTAAATGAACTTACCAACCACTTTATAAATATTTTGTTAATGGTTGTGTAAGTATGACTAATTCAAAATAAAACGTTTCTAAATAAATGTTTTTTGCAGTTTATTACTTTTTCTTTTATTTATCATAAATTTCCTCTCTTTTTTTTTTTAACCGTAGATGGGCAAGTTACCATATATGCTAACTTTATTAATCTTGATTTGCAACATTTTTTTTTTTTTTTTGTAAGTCACAGAAGTAAAAATATCTAGAAATATTCTTCAATAACACCCAATGGTTGAAATTAGTAAAGTATTTCAAGGAGAGCCCTATAAAGGATTAATCTCTTATTGTGGTCCTTATAGGGCTCGCCATACATGTAGTATCCTGTCTTGTTTTGTTTTTTTCTTTTATTGAAAAGTCTAAGCCATCCATTATTTACTATGATAAAAAGACTTCCAAGTCAAAAGATGGTTCATATTTTGAAATGGTTTTACATGTACCTCATCATAAAATCTTGGCAGTAGAGATACGTTTTCACCAATCTGTGGAATCTGGTCATATCAGAACCATGATGGTGGGATACTGTATAGTCTGACTCATAGGATGTAGACTGCCGGTATAAGCCTGCCATTGGCCGCTAATTTAAGGTGGTTTTGTCCTCCTCTTCCGCTATTGCCATTTGCAAAATCACTAAACAGTTGCAACAACCTCCAGACTACCAACCTACCACAGTAAAAAATGTCATGATTTGCCAATGATCTGGATAGAGCAGTAAAGCAGCCCTGCTAGTTTTTTCATAGATTATCCATCGTGATCACAATTCTCGCCTTCCTGCATGCAAACATTCCACCAAAACAATACCACTTGTCACTTTTTTGAGGGACCAAAAAGCTGTACCCTTTGCTTAGCTCTGTCCAATTGATTGTGATTTGTTTAACGAAATCCAAACAAGCCAGTGTTTTTGTCCTCCTATAGCAGAATGACGGTGTGGTGCAGCTGGACTGTAATGTGCTACAGAATGGGCTGGCCAAGTAAGACTGTATGACGTAGAAAGTGGAGAACATATGTGCTTAGTGCCTCATGGAAATAACATAATCATAATAACAATAATCATTTTATTCGCTCACTTGTTCACGTACAATGGCCTACTTACAAATCAGGCAAATACTGACACAATTGTGCAGCCGGAGCTTTAATATCTGTGCCATGCAATCATTACATTGGACATTACCGCATACCATCATTACAATGGATTGCATAGATATTAGCTTTTCATTGCAATGACGAGTTCTTGAATATTTCAATCCGAAGTAATGGGTGAGGAGATGGACACACGTCTGTATGCAGATCACAGCTGTGATTAAATCTGATGTAAATCCAAAATGATATGTTCCCACTGGAACTTCTTTGCACATACAAGCGACTGTGATTGTTGGAAAGGTCAAGATGTGCAATTTCATTTTATATGTGCTGCGCTCGCGGCAATGAATACTTAAAGAGCAAATCCACTAAAGAAGGGACGTGAATTTGTTTACAGACTGCATGCGTCGGCCCCTGATGGTTAAAGCAGCTACAAATGACGTTTTCATGCTTAGAATTGATTACAGGTTGGGTTGTAAGAAAAATGGTCTGCCGTAAAGTCATGAAACCACAGAGCACTATCACCTGACTTTGCACTTCCTCGTGCCTTTCAGATTACTGTTTAGATTTTTCAGCTCTTGATTGGACTTATTTTCCACTTTCACTACTCTCGTAGTTTTATTTTCAGGCACAGCAGCCAGATGTTTTCAGTGAAGAGGCTCAGAAACCCCAGCACATTTACAGCCCTTTAGAGATTTGCACAAAGTCACTTTTGTAATGTTGAATACAATCTTTTTTTTTTTTTATCTAAAAATTGTCACATTTGAAACCACATTTTTTTCCTGTTTTTTGATTGTCAACTCTTTTTTTTTAAAATTATTTTGTATATTTGTTTTGTTTATCAGTTTTGTTAAATAGCAGGTAATATCTAGAAAAACAAATAAATTAAATTAAAAAAATAAATGTAAAAAAATGTTTAAAGACAGGACTAAATTAACATCAAAACTCTCTATTCATACAAATATCAATTTATTTCTTTTACAATGTGTGAGCCTTACTACCGGATTTTTGCAGATTTATTTTAATGACATTATTTTTACAGTGTAGCTGTGTTGTAGGAAGGTCTGTGTTATAGTTATAGTTATATCAATACAGATTATGTTGTTAAAGGACCAGTGTGTGGGATTTAGGGAGATCTATTAGCTAAAATGAAATCTAATATTATAAAATTGTGTTTTGATTGGTGTATAAATCATCTGAAACTAGAAATGATTACGTTTTCCATGGCTTAGTATGAGCCCTTCATATTTACTGTATCAGTGAATGCCAAAAAGTCCCACACAGTGGACCTTTACTCTCTGAACACTGCACAGTTAGCAGAAAACTACATTTTTTTTCTTGTGTTTGTAGCAGCTGCCAAGAAATAAATCTCATTCTTGCACTTTTTTTTTTTGGTTGTTTTGCTTTTCAGGTTTTGCTACTGCTGACTTTACCACAGCTGTGTGTAAGAGACACAACATACTTGCACTTTGTTTAACCAGCATTCTGCAGACAACAAAGAGTCTTGTCTAATAGATTCACAAGCTTTCATATGATTCAGTGGGTTGAGGAACAAAGATGCTGACTTGGCTTCCAAATTTCCCCAAATCTCAATCGACTCAGATGTTTGTTTTTATTTTTTATTTTTTAAAGACAGCATTTTGGCAGCACAAGGGAGATTTACACAGTATAAGGAAGGTTTTAATGCTGTTTAATGTTTAATTCAGACATTACTTTACCTTGTTTTAAACATGTATAAGGAACACTTTTGGGAAACTTAAGACGAAAAAAAAATCTTAAAATTACTATTAAATTTAAAAACCAACATCCAATAAAAACAAGCACAAATGCCACAATCCTATTACTAGAATAATCATTATGCGGACAGTATTTTCTGATTGCCAAGATTGCACTGTTGATTGATAATTGTATCATTGTTTTGTCTGTTGCCATGCCAACCACCACCGTGGTTTCTCTTGCTGTTAACCGGCTCCTCAGTTGTGCTAACTGTTATGTAAAATGCTTAAAACCCTCATGGGCCTTTAACGCTGTGATTGAGAGTTACCCTGAAGTTTCTCTGTCACATCATCCAACACACAAAGAACACTTTCAGTTCCCAGCTTCGACTGAAGAGCATGAGGAGCGAGAAAAATCTCCCCCCTCCATCCCCCCCCCCTTTGTGCCAGACAATCTCTCCCACACATTAGGCCACTTACTGGCCTTTCTGTGTGACCTAGACAGGAGATTAGCTGACACACATCAGGCGATGCTCTTAGTCTTACACATTAACACTCGTGGACTCGTGCGCCTAAATAAGTAAAATAGGAGCTGGAATCACTGCATGAGGCCTGTACTTTTTGTGGTTACATGTCATGTAGTTTATCATCAAGCACTGCTCCATCAAAAGGACTGTGGCGCCAAACAGCATATGAAGTCCTAAAATACCCCACCGTTCTTCTCCGAGTGACTAACAGCTTAGCCTCTCCAGATAGAAAAAGACCT